AGCCGGCACTCAGGGGCGAGGTGCTACTTCAAGGGCATCAATGTTGCAACACGGGCGTGGCTCTTCGCACGATGCTACAAGTCCCACCATCTGGTGCTGCAAAGCGGCATTGCCGTTGCAAGCCGGTGCCGCTAACGACACGCCGCTGCAACTTTCAGGGACGGCGTGCTGCTGCAAATGGCGGCAATGTTGCAAATGACTGACGCCTAGCGGTGGAAAAAAAAAAGTGGCGTGTATGCTCAGACGGCAATATATGGCCAAATGGGTCAATTGTCTCGCAGCTCTTTTCGTTTTCCACGCGAGGGCGAGGCGAAGACATCGCTGACACGGAACGTTCCCCCGTCCCGGTGGGCGGCCGCTCCAGGCTGGCGCACAAGTGGGCCGCGTCGGTCAAGCGATTGCAGAATTACTGGTTGACGCGGGCGCCATTTCCATATCAGATCGGATCCTCCCACTCCATCGCTGGACGCGATCACGCGCGCCGAGGGACACAGAATCCGCCCCCCTCCTCAATACTCGGACTCCACGGCCAGCGTCCGTCCGTCCGTCCGTCGCAGGGAGAGAGAGACAGAGAGGGCGAGGGAGGGAGGCCAGATTCGGCGGGCGGGAGATGAGCGGGTCGGAGGAGGAGGCGGCGCATGCGGCCGGCCGGGGCGGGGGCAGCGGGGGCGGGGGCGGGGGCGGCGCGGGCGGGTCGTCGGGGAGCGGCGGCGAGGGCCACCCGCGCCGGCGGTTCGACGACAAGACCCTGGTGGCGCGCACGTCGCTCATCCTCTGGCACACGCACCAGAACGACGCGGCCGCCGTGCGCAAGCTGCTCGACGAGGACGGCACGCTCGTCAGCGCCCGCGACTACGACAGCCGCACGCCGCTCCACGTCGCCGCGCTCCACGGATGGCAGGAAGTCGCCGAGTGCCTCCTCGCCAAGGGCGCAGACGTCAACGCGCTCGACCGCTGGCAGAACACGGTGATCCTTCCTCCTTCCCCCCTTCCGCCTCGTCTGGTCGTCTCGCCTCTCGGTTGGTAATGGGGGCGTTGGGGCGTCGGCGTTGGGCTTGATTCGGGTCATGATGCGGCCCGGGCTTCTTCGCGTGCTGAAATCATTCGGGTTTGCCGTTTGTGTTGAGCTCATTTTGGCCCGTATTCCGATTGGATTTGCTTTCTTCCGTCATGAATTGAATTCGTTCTGATGATTATTCTCGAGGGAAAAACGATGAGCATTAGCCTCTTGTTTGCACTTGAGCTTTTCATTCGTCTCATGTCACTCGTGCCACCATCTGCCTTGGGTACTTGGTTGGGAGCTCCGGCTGCGCTCCACGAAATTAGGATTACCACTGGGAATTGACGGGGCTTGTCCTATATGATGTAGTTGCTCAAATGCGTCTGCAACGAGTTCGGTGTTGAATGCATATTTGTTGGGTGCTTGGTTATATTTATGCTGCATGGTTGTGACTGTATGCTTGATATTTGAGATAATAATTGCTCACGATGCTAACTTTTGGTTTATTTACAGCCACTTGCTGATGCAGAGGGTGCAAAGAGGCATGCTATGATCGAACTGCTCAAGAAGCATGGCGGGTTGACATTCGTAAGTTGCCATTCACTTGGGTTCGGTTTAATAGATTGTCTTGGCTATTCATTGCGAAGTTGTAGTAGGGGTGTTTAGCTTCAAACATTAGCTCAATATTTCTAAATTTGTAACATGACACCAGGTGTTCCGATTTCACCAGTAACTGTATGGTATGGAATTTTGTGGGTGAGTGCCCCATATATTGCTCTGCAGCTGTCTTTGTCATGTTTCTGAATTTGTATCCAGGGCACCTGGTCCCAAATATTGTTACCAGAAGTGGAAGTGGAGTCTTTGGATGTGTCTGTGTTGTTTGTGGAAAATGTTAGATGAGGTACAATGGATGATTCCGGTATCTTGTTGCTTTACACATGAGCATCAGTCAGAGATTGCTGTATGTAGAACAGACGTGTCATTGTTGATTAGGAGATCATAGTGGATAATACTAAGGATGTGTTTCAGAGGTTTGCTTGTCTATTTTCGTTTAATGGGTAGTTCTGGTGCACCTTTCAAGCGTGACCAAATTAATTATGCTTTACATAGTTGGAATAAATGTTATGTTTGGGTAAGAGCTGTTTAATAATCATCGAGACATCATTTGATGCTTATAGTTGTCACCTGCCTTTAATCATGCTCTGAAATCTGATGCGCTGGATTCCTCTGATTCATTTTTGCTGCAGGGGAAAACTGGAAGCCACTTTGAAGCAAAGTCAATTCCACCTCCCCTAACAAACAAGGCTGACTGGGAGATTAACCCACTTGAATTAGATTTCACAAAAGCAGTAATGATCGGAAAGGTCAGTATTCTTGAATTATCTCTTGGTTATGTGCAACTATTAATCTGTTATATACTCCAATGTTTATGTGATGCAAAGCAGTCTTAGTTAAGCATTGCAATTGTTATCAAGGCAAACTGAGACTGTTGTGATTTCAAGCTTGATTTAATGCTAGTTGTTAGTTAACTAATGGACCTCGCATTTCTCATGATTACAAAATGTCCATGGCTCGCATTTTGAAGTTTATCCAGTTGGGTAGCATTTGGCTTGTTATTACCGTAGTGAGCAAGGGGGAACTATGACCCATAATTTTTCCATCGGTTAAGTCATTAGTTGTATATTTGGTATGTCAAATTAGCTAGAGGCAATAAACTTACTGTTTAGTTCCAGTCGTTTTACATGCTGACAGAATAATGGATGTTAAACATATTTCGACGGTAAAAAAAATCATTTTAGATATTTGATTGAAAGTAAGCTCGGTTTAATACTAGGAAGATAATGTGCATATATTGTCTACATTTGCATAATAAATGTGTGCTTTGCTCCTCATTTAGTTCATTAAACCTGCTAACCACTGCAGGGTTCTTTTGGTGAAATCCTGAAAGCAAATTGGCGAGGAACACCAATTGCTGTCAAACGCATTCTTCCATCATTATCCGACGATAGACTGGTTATGTAAGTAAAGTTTATTCACACAATCACCACAACTCCCACATTTTGGACACAGCTGCCAGCTTTCTAGTACTCCAGCTGATTGGCTAGGACTAGCCTATTGCATTTCTATATGGTTAACTAATGTTCTGTTCAAGGTGTGACTGGACACCTTATAATCTTCTGCAGCATGTTTTATCTCATGGAATATTTCCTTACCAGCTACTTACCTGGTTTGCAGCCAAGATTTTAAGCATGAAGTCAATTTGCTAATAAAGCTGAGGCATCCAAATATTGTACAGTTCCTTGGAGCAGTCACAGAAACCAAGCCTTTGATGCTAGTTACCGAGTTCCTCCGAGGAGTACGCAATCTGTTTTGGAAGTCAACTACCCTGTGATGTGGACTCTATGGCACTCATTAATGTTGTACTAAATGCATTTCCAGGGTGATCTTCATCAATATCTCAAGGAGAAAGGCTCCCTCTCCCCACTTACTGCCGTTAACTTCGCATTGGACATCGCAAGGTATTCTCATCTTTATGTGCTTAGCTCTTACTTACTACTCCCTCCGTTAGAGATTTCAATAAGGACTACATACGGATGTATATAAACATACTCCCTCCGTCCCAAAATTCTTGTCTTAGATTAGTCTAGATACGGATGTATCTAATACTAAAACGTGACTTGATACATCCGTATTTAGTCAAATCCAAGACAAGAATTTTGGGACGGAGGGAGTATTTTAGAGTGTAGATTCACTCATTTTGCTCCATATGTAGTCCGCATTGGAATCTCTAAAAAGACTGATATTTAGGAACGAAGGAAATATATACTGCATAATCTGGATAAATATGATTGATACTTCTGCAAGATTAACTGAATCCTTCTCTTGGAAAATTAACTACCTATGCCCTTGAATATATAGTTTCGACGATCTTATTATGGTTCATATGTTAGATCATTTTAATTTATAATGCATTTATAGTGAACCCTGATTCTCTTATGCGCCTCTCGTTCATCTGTAAGATACTCGCTAATCAGAGTTGACTCTTAATTTTGCTGTCAACAAATCATCCAAGTGATCAGTAATAGTAAACTGTTGGTACTAGTTATAGTGGCATGGTCTCTTTATATCTATTTGAACTGCAATGTGGGTTTATACAAACACCACGTCCTTGAACCATCACACAGTATCCTTTCTTATTCTTTGGATTATTCTTTGGAAATAAGTACTTTGCATGATAGGTTCTAGCATATGAATAATCACTTGATCTGGTGATCTGTTTTTAATCAGAAATAAAATGATTCATGTGTTTCTCTTGATTATCTTCTGCAGAGGCATGGCCTATCTTCATAACGAGCCTAATGTTATAATTCATCGGGACTTAAAGCCAAGGTATGATGCCTTTTACCTGTTTTTGCTAATGCGAGCAACTTCATAGCTGGTCTAACCTATTATGTCTATCCCCAGAAATATTCTTTTAGTTAATACTGCTGCCAACCACTTGAAAGTTGGAGATTTCGGTCTTAGCAAAATTATCAAATCTCAGCATGCCAATGATGTATACAAGATGACCGGAGAGACCGGAAGCTGTAAGTCCCCATAAGTTATTTGATTTTTCTTTCCTCTCTTATACTTATCCCCACTAGTTGGCTTGATAATTGTTCAAAAATATAGATCGGTACATGGCTCCTGAAGTTTTCAAGCACCGGAAATATGACAAGAAAGTTGATATTTTCTCCTTTGCCATGATACTTTATGAGGTAATTTTCCATCTAAACTTAGAATCCATCAGCGTGTCATATTGTATGATCATGCCTGTCCAAAATGACAGTAAATGTTCCTTTCAATTGTAGATGCTGGAAGGGGATTCACCTTTTTCCAGTTATGAACCTTATGAGGCTGCTAAGTATGTATCAGATGGGCATCGCCCAACTTTCCGTTCAAAAGGACATACCGCTGAGCTGAAAGAGTAAGTGCAAGCTGAACAGTACCCTCTTAATATTCGAAAGTGCTATTGTGAGCTCGAGCTCACAGGCACCCTTTGCTACAGTACATGCGAAAAAATATTTAAAATTTTCAAAAAAAATCTGAATTTTTTTGGCAACAAACATTGATGTTTTTTCGACATGCGTGCAAAATTTCATGACAAAATGACATTCATGCAGGTCTCGGCAAAAAAACAAAATCGATGCTCCAAACTGCTTCCAAAAACAGTTTTTTTGGAGCATTTTTGTTTTTTTGCCGAGACCTCCACAAATGTCATTTCATCATGAAAATTGGCACGCATGTAGAAAAACCATCAAAGTTTCTTGAAAAAAAATCAGATTTTTTTTGAATTTGTTTTACTATTTTTTCGGATTTACTGTTCATCCGGGATCACTGGTGCTCGGGATCACATGCTCCATTCCCATATTCGAAACTTAATATTCTGCTATTGCCATGTTCATGTAAGTCTTCAGTGTTGTAACATGGTTTTCCTAATTGTAGATTGACTGAGGTATGTTGGGCTGCGGATATCAATTTGAGACCATCTTTCCTAGAGATACTCAAGAGGCTGGAGAAGATCAAGGAAAGCTTGGCATCCCACGATCACCACTGGCATTTGTTCTCACAATAACAATGCATATATTTCGTTACGAGCAATTTAAACTACAGGTGTTGTTGTGAATCTGAATTGATTTACTTGGGAAATTGGTGCCGATTGTGTACAGATTAGATGGGTCAAAAAATGTCCTCTGAAATGACAAAAACTCTGCTGCTTTTCTTTCAGCTAAAGCTGATATATTCTTGTTTTCCCCATATCATTATTGCTTTTAGCTAATTCTGAAAGCTTGGAGAGTTATTAAGCCCATAGTTTTACGTTGTTCCTTGAAATTGCTTCAGTAGAGTGTAGAGCTCTTATTTGCAACTGTGACTCTGTAGGGAAATACCAACTTTTAAATCTGGAGAACTGAAAGGAACTTTTGACATTTGCATAGACCAACTGTGTTCCCATCGTTTGGCAGAGTCAGCTGCCAAAGTAGCCAAATTTTGGCTTAAACACGTGGGCGAGCGAGATTGACACCATCATGAAAATAATGCAGTTTTATTTTTGTAGTTTCCTCTGCAACTGATGGGGTGGTGGTGATTGATCGAATCATGAATAAACCGCTGCCGATAGGTGTTAACATCTGTTGTATGTATGTTTTGTTATCGAGCATGATGTTCTTTGTGTGCAATGTTCAACAGAAAATAATAAACTGGTGTTGTTTTCTGCATGTTAGCTCAAAGTTCTCATTTGTAAATACTTGTTCTTTTAGGTCCCACTTGCTACCCCAGTTTTTCAACAGGAAAAAAAAACAATTCTGAAAAAATAAAATTTCTATGCATAACTTTTTCTATCATCACAAAAGAAATCTACATGAAGTACCATGGCAAGATTGTTGTGACATTGAAATTAAACACGAAAATTGAGCTGGTGATCTAGTAAATAAATCATGTGTGAATTGACCATGCCTTGCTTATGCATTGTTTGTTGGCAACGGATAGCCAAATTTTGATTTAAGCGGTGCAGTATCAACAAAAACACATTCAAATTCCTGAAATAGCACACAAAATCCTCACATGAGTACAAATGCAACATCTATAACAAAACAGAACTCAAAACATATATTTTCGGAAGAGTGGCAGAATTTGCAAGTTGTAAAGCAACACAAGCTGGCTTGAAAATCAAAATAAGGAATTATTGCTGCTTTCTCAAAGAGAAAATTGGCCCACTAGTGTACATTTTATTTCCTATGTTTTAGTTGGAGACATTCATTTAAAATGTAACCGCACTGCCACATTATTATTAATAAAATTTAAATTAGGGATTGGTGGGGCCTTCTCACAGGGAGAAGACACCCTTAAAAAAATTAGGGTATGCTGCTTAGTGTGGCGTGCACACGGTATTCTTTAGTAAAAGGCGAAAGAATAGTTCGCTCTGTGCTCACCACGCAGCTGCGTGCCTTTCACCACTCGCACCACCCGCTCTTATATAGCCCACCTCCCTCCCCTTTCTCCCCCAGATAGGCGAGGTGGGACTAAACGAGAACAGCGCTCCGCCTCTTCCACTTTGACTCCCACGGAACAGCGCTCCCACAGAACTACAGAAGGACAATATGGGCCAGCAAGGTGATCAGCCCACTCGAGAGGCAACAATAGCCCAGCCCAACAGACCCATCGCCTCACTTCTTTTTTAACGCGTCGCTTCACACACTTCTGCAACTCCTTTTGTGTGCAGCAAAACAAAACAGAATTTGATCCGTTTCTCAGGAAAAAAAAACTGAACCTCGCAACAACTCCATTTGAGTGCGGCAAACAAAACAGAATTTGATCCGTTTCTCAGAAAAATAACTGCACCTCTCTACATATTCCTTCCTAGGTCGTGTGAGCACTGTGTAAAATCGTGTGTTCTTTTTTCTGAACTCGGGAAACAGAAGGAACAGTACTGATAACAGTAGCAGCGTTGCCATCGAAGAAACCGAACGGGCGATGAGGTGAGAGAGAGAGAGTGGGTGTGAACTGGCGTGGGGGTGACGGGAGGGGACATGGGGAGTTATGAGCCGTCGTGTCGTCTCCCGCGCGTCCCCAGGCGTGCAGGCGCTCACCATGCATGGCTCGAGCGAGCCTGGCTCACAAAAAACGGTCGATTCGGCCGTTGCCCAGGCCTGCTTTGAGGTTCGCGCGGGCCACGAATTGCATGCGACCCAGGCAACCAAACGGCCAGATTCTTCCCGCGCGGGCCTAGCTCTATGTCAGTGCCCAAATATCTCAAGTTTTGGAACTCGTCGCTTGCTAGATAGTATACGGAGTGCAGTTGTCCACACTCGAGATGTAGAAGCATCGGAGTGATGCAAACTTCCGAGGATCTACAAATCCTGTTGTTCAACCATCTGAGCTTGAACAACAGCCACCACCTGAGCTTGAACAACAGGTAAGATAGGTGGGGAACACACGAGGATACCATCCACGGCAGTCGTCTTGGTAGAACTATGCCAGACAGTGTCAGCTCACGAGTCTCGTAAGGTCTGGCATCTATTGGCTTTGGTACCGGGCAGCATGCCTTTGCTGCAGAAACTCACCTATTGGCTACTCCCTCCATTCCTAAATATAAGTCTTTTTAGAAATTTCAACAAGGGACTACATACGGAGCAAAATGAGTAAATCTACACTCTAAAATATGTCTATGTACATCCATATGTTGTAGTTCATTTGAAACCATTAAAAGGACTTATATTTAAGAACGGAAGGAGTAAATGGCAAGAATTGCGACGATGATGAGATGGAGGAAACACAAGCAAAATTGAGGCACGCCACCAGGATCCACCCCAACAGTCCTGCCCTTGCAATACGAAGCCACAACTACAAGGATGCTTCGCCACTCTCCGGCCGGCCTCCACTAGACCACCCCTCCCCTCGCCGTCGCCGGAGGAGGCCGCCGGGCGAAGCCCCGCGGCGGACGGCGGCAGTGAGGTTGCGTGCAGCCTCCTCTCCAGCCTGCTGCGTTCTCTCCTTCTCCCTCAGATCCAAAATCCCCCACGCCTCCTGCTTCCATGCTTGCTTGGCTACGGCTGCCGGCCATCTAAATGCATCGGCTGCCCCTGCTCTGGCCCCATGGCTGCCGGATGTGGCTGCTGGTCCTTGTGGACGGGGCGCTGACCGGTAAAATTTCGAGCTGACGGCTTGTGTGGACGACTGCTCGGCGCGGCGCTGTGGGGGCGCGGCTGGGTGGCCGGCGGTGGCCGTCATGGTGGGCCTGCGGGTTCGATGGCGGGGGGTTGCGGGCACGGGCGTGCTGGCGCGGGGCGTCCTCGTCCTGGGTGCGCGTGGCCCTAGGCGTGTGGCGCGGTCGTGGTGGCGCCTGGTGCTGGTGCGGGCGGCCACGGACGCGCGTCGAGTCAGGGGAGCTGCGGGCGAGGTGGATCCAGAGCGGCCGGCGCGCCGGCTCCAGATCTGGCAGTGGTCGGAGCTTGCCGAGATCCCCGTCCCCGATCTGGCGATCTTCGAGGCGGTCGGTCATGGGATGGTGCTCGGCGGCTTGGTTGGCGCTGCCGGCAGTGTTGGTGAATGCGTGGCTTGCTTCTGGCTCGGGGCATGCTGGTCGTGATGGCGGGTGGCCTGGCGACGATCTCGGGCTGGATTTGAACTACAGTGGTCCGAATCGGGTCCTATACGGTGGTGCTCTGGGAGAAATCCCTGCTCACCCATTGTGTGAGCCGACCACGACGGCGCCTCCCCGGTGTCGTATACCTTCCTAGAGGCGTGGTCTTCGAGTTGTTCCATGTGGATCTGCTTCGGCGTCGTTCAGGCCGTCTTGCTGTAGGGATATGCTCAAACTCCGGGTGAGAACCTTTCATCGACTATGTCGATGTCGGCGGCAGCGGCGTCTATGAACGTCGTCTTCCTCGCAGGAGGTGCCGCTGTGGAGCTCCAGCACCTATGTTATTTTGATTTGTGGTCTCCGGGTGAAAACCCAAGATCGGTATTGCCGGATCGGATGATGGTGTTGTGTCTTCGACAACACTACCTCCTTGGAGGCGTCATCTTGGAGGCCCAAACCATGGCCCCTGTTGCTGTTGTGTGGTTCAGGCTGGTGCGTTTGGTGGTGGTGATGCGGCCAGCTTGGGGCCGACGGTGGTGTATTTCTTTTTCAGGTGTTTCTCTTGGCTGTCCTTCGTGTGGTCTCCGTCTTGTTGCTGTGCATGCTCAAGACCCTCCCATGGTTGCCCTTGTGCTGCGGTGAGCTCTGGGCTCTTGGTGTTGTCTTGGTTCACCTTTGCTCAATGACGACGCAATGATGCCTCCCCAACCTGCTAATCGTTCTGACCGCCCGTGGCGGATCTTCCAGTCAAGGTTCGTGTTATGGTTTTGGCACTCGTTGATTGTGGTTGATCCTCTGTTGTGCCGTGAGGCTCGGTACGCACGCCGGTGCGGTGCGTTAGGTTGTTTGCAGAGTCTTGGTATTGTGATCCCTCGACAGAACCCCACATCTACTTGTGTCTCTCGTGGTGTTGGTCTTTCTGCCTGCTAGCTAGGTCATGCCCTCTCCTGGGTGGCACTTTTTTCTCATCTTCTGTAACCTTGTTACCTGTATGGTTTTCGGCCCGGTTTTCCTCATAAACGGGGTCAACTTGTTTAGATTTTTGATCCGGTTTCCTTATAAACTGGATCAACCAAAGCTTAAGGGGTCACTCTTGGCTTTGGCAACTTTTTGAGCAATATATTCAGGTGGGGATCCTCTCCCCCCCCGGTGACCGTTCAAAAAAAACTACAAGGATGCTTCTTGAGGCACAAGACCAAGAACAGATGCTACCGAGGTTAATTACTCAATCACTCAAGCGTGTGCTACGTGATGGTGGAAAGGTTTCGGCCACTCACGAAGAGGTATGTATAATACAGTATATCGTTAACTATTTCAGCCAGACGATGGTGGTGCGCGCAAGATAACTCGTATCACCGAGTATTTAACCAAAAACTACCACATTTGCCGGAAACATGACAGAAAACTACCACTCTACATTTTTGTGCGAAAAACTATCAAATTTTTCCTAAGCCGTGGCAAAAAACTACCAACTCGCGTAATCGCTCGCTTTGCCC